TAAATACTTCACTGATCGGACACTTGAGCAAACCTCGACGTTTATATGAGCGTTATATTTCATTAATAGATAAGGATTATATGGCACAACATCTCTATTGTCAACCAGGTTAACCCCCTTTTGAGCTGTGGTATTGTTGTTTTGTCGACGATAAAGTGGATATCCATTGCTGTTCTCAACTGTTTCATTCACGTACTCTTTAGGATATTTTTTTGAACATTTTCCGTCTTTCATGCAAGGTGAATTCTGATTTCGCGCTCCGCATGGCCCTTGAATTATGTTCCGCACAACTTTGTCATGGAGACTTGGGAACTCATTGGGATTAGGCAACTCTGCATAAACACATCGGTCTATTTGGGCTGGTTCACGAAATTTTGATTCTTCGTCAAGGATTAAAAGTATGTGGCAGTGGGGCAAGCCTCGTTTCTGAAATTCTATGACGTACACAAAAGCAATAACCTTTCCAAATACATTATTTTTTAGGAGGTAATTTTTCAACTCATTTAATTTACATTTAAATACTCTGGAAACGATATCTGGTCGATCGGCTGGTGTTTCATTGTCTTTCAGTGAAGATAGTATGTCAGTCCATTTAGGGTTGCATGTCATTGTTATAAATAAATCAGGCTTTCCGTATTTTTGAACGATAGCCATTGCATCTTGATAACGTTGAGTCATGTTACGCGGACTACCTTCAAATGTTGATGGCAACACAACAATCTTACCCGCAGTGACGCTTTCTAGTTGTGCTCTGTTCAAAACAAAATCTTGCAATCCGTGGTAGTGTTCAACTCTAAGCTGCGATTGGTGATGTCTAATATCATTTAGTCTATTAGGTACTTTCAACTCTGGTGTATAGATCTACAATATATTGTTGAAATAGTTTTTTAGCAGCATGGATATTTGAGAAGCCGGGCCGAACAGCAAGTCTATAGCTGGCGAACTGTAGCATGGTAAGCTTCTCACGCAGTCTTTGACGTCGTTGTCCATTGTGTGTCATTTCTGCGTCCCACCCAGGTTCGCCGCTCGGAAATAACAAAGGATATAGCATTGGATCACAGTGTGGGCTCAATATTGATAAAAGCTTAGGCCCACTTTGGCGGTTGTAAATTACTACATGACGATTGTGTGGAGGTTCACCTTCTTCTGAATTAAACACTCCAGCAATTTCATCTGCGGAAGGTCTGTTGAATCGTCTAATATCCATCGAAATGTTGTCTACGAATCGAAGTTCAATGTTTTTAATGTTTTCATTAGTCATCATTTCATTAGCTTTTCTATAAGTCTGGGAATATGGGTTATTTGATAATATGTCAGACAATTGAGTTACTATTTCCAACTTGAGGGCACTATTTTCGGTTCTTTGTAGTCTAAGATTATTTGCGACTGCAGTATCAATGAAATATAACTGACCGTATGAAGGGGCTTGTTCATCACCTGGTAATAAGTCCGAAATAAAACGGTGAATTTGACCTTGGACTTTAAAGCAATATGGTCCATTGCCTTGAACTTCTTTTTTCGTGGCAGAGAGTGAGGCAAATGCCATAGCACTATTATACTGTCTTATGTTTTTAATAAAATGTCCATTCCTAAACAACTGTTGTAGTTCATTGTTATTTTCAGGTTGTGGTAGATGTATGAGACCGTTATGGCAGCAAGAGTTGTAGTGACCATTTGTAGACTCTTCAACAAAGTGCAACGCACCACAATGCATACATTGATCATTCATCAGGCCCAGATTGTGTGTTGGTATCTCGTTTATAAGTGGTAATCTAAAAATAGGAGTATCTTCGACGTCATGATGTGGTTGTTCATTCCTTTCCTCATTATAAATTTCTCGCCTACGCTGTCGTCTGTCATGCTGATTTCGAAAGCCAACACCTCGGCGACGCGGCCTTCCTCCGTTGTTCATTACTATATTTAGGTAGAAAAGAAGAAATACGATAAGATAACTATAGATCACCATTACTAAAAATTATACATTGCTGTAGTAAACAAACTGAAATTCATAAAAAGTACAGCTGGTATCTATATCAAAGGCTATGAGTACACAGATTTTCAGAAATACAACTAATACAAATCTGTGGCACAGCTGTTTTAATTTCAAAAGATGTAAACAAATTAAACCCCATGTTGTTTTAATGGGAAAAGTTTTATTCTGTTGCGAATTTATGGTAAAAAAATAAGACAAATGAATAGTTTTCCCTCAAAATTCACGTCAAGACCTTTAAAATAAGACCCCTCCCATCCTTCTACGGCCATCCAGTCACTCACAATTTCTTTACAAAAATTTGACTTACGGAATTATATATATAGATAAATATATATATATATATATACATTATATATATACATTATATATATATATGAATTTGAACGGATGGTGCTTTTGGTCTCTGGGGACCTCAAAACGAAAAAGTAAATTGGTCCCGGGACCAGGTCTTACCATGAGACATACGGTAATAGCTTATTCCTTATATGTGAACTTAGCTAAAAAACTCCCATTTAACCTGTTGTTTGTCATAAGCAAGTAGACATTTACAAATTTAAACCATGACGATTGCTGCATTCATAAATTTTTAACCATACTGTAGAGTGTAGGCTACGGTCCTAAAAACCGTTTGGTACTTTCTTTAGCCCCTGTAGCCCTCCCCCTTGGAACCACCACTGGGTCAGGTCATGACAGTGGATAACAGATTCAAGCACTTTCATTCAAACACCAATTATTCCCATGCTTATTTCTTAAATGTTGATATAGTTACATACGTAAAATATTACAGGATGGTCAATCTGTTTTTTCAGTAAAGTATTTTTGTTGAACCTTCATAGTTTTATTACCTCTTTAATAGATTAGATTTATTAATATAATTAATTATATGAAATATGAATACTGCAAAACATAATAAAACATAAAAAAATATCTTCTGTTGTGGTTTCTATTTTATAATTTAACTTGCACTTTTTAAACCTAGTATTAATTAATTTTTACTACTAAATTTCAGGATTTCGGTGGTGGGCGGGGGGTTTGACCCCCTAACCCCCCCCCTGGCTACGGCCTTGATGTCGATTTATAATTTGCAACTTTTTAATTTTTCTCTGTAACCATTAACCATACATAAACACTATGATATACTAAATTATTTGTTATTGTTTTTTAAGCTCTTTGAAATGCTCTAGAGAGAAATTGGGAAATGATGTGTTTAGAGGGTCAAAAATGAGAAAACACAATTTTACCCCATACAACCCCCCGTAAAACTCTGTTCCCATAGTCCAATCATGCTGGTTCACGAACTCTTTCAAGTTTATTCCGCTTTACACCTTTGCCCTCTAGGGACATCAAAATAAAAAAGTATATCGGTCCCGGCTCCAGGTCTTACCGTGCCACCTACGGTAATAGCTTTATATAGACCGTATATTAAATAATTGATAATTGATTTATAATTGATCAATAGTTTTTTCCTGTTTTCATGTAAACTCCTCTATATAGTTGTATATTTTTAGTTTTGCTGTTTCTGTTTAACGTCTTTTTATGTGTAAATGGTAATATTCATCTGTCTAAACTTATGTAATCATTATATATTTTTTTAATAAATTATTATTTTTCACGACTTTATCATCGTATATGACCTAAAAGTTTCAAAGATAATAGCGTCCACCCGAACATTAGTATCTTAGATGGATGGATAGATAAATAAATATTAATAAAACATCAAGCAAGCAAAGCCCTCGGTCAATATCAAAGCATGAACAGTCCTATTCATTGACGCTAAAGAAGGATTTTAATTTAATTTAATTTCTTACTATTAGGAGGCTGCACTTTTGTTTACTTTGCACTTTAGATTTGTTTACTTCGAGTCAGGTAAAAAATTTTGCTTACCTAATTATAGGCCTCCGGACAAAACAGATTGGTTCAAAACCGGTTTGCTTTGGAAATAGTTGATTTTTACATAATGTTGATTTTCAGGCGAGCGGAACCTGGCCTACAAGCTCGAGAGAACAAGCACATAAAGTCAGAAAATTAAGCTCGAGCCAATTTTCTCAGTACTCAATACAATAATGCCCAATTGAAAGTAAAAGCTTTTATGTCCGCGAGGATCACGCTCACGAAATTGAAAGATTAGGCCTACGCTTTTGCCGCGATCGCGAATATCGACAAAAACATTTTCCCGCGGGTGACGATGAAGATGTCTCCGCGGCCGCTGGAGATGTTCAATATTTTGCCGGATTACCTCTCACCACGGGTCGTGGGAGATATCAGGGATTGAGCCGTAAACGTGGTAGACGATACTGTTGTTATATTATGATGTCATAGGTTTGGTTGCAACCACAGTTGACTATGAATGTTTTTTCCATGACTACGGGAAGTATTCACGTTTTTTTCGCAATCATGGAAGACGAAGATGACGCCTCGGTGCCTCGGGAGATATCTTGCCAAGCAAAAGTGCAAGTTTAGGCATACATGTGATAATGTTTTTTAAAGAGTTTTTTCGGAGGAGGGCCCGACAAACAAACTTGCGGGGGAGGGGGGGCCCGCGGGGTCTTATCGCCACCACTGATCACCACTACTTTGCTGCAGAATATGGTTAGCATTGAAACTAGCCAAATATTCAAATGCCCCATTAATAGCTGTTTTTTACAATATCAAATCAATAAATGAAGTATTTTATCTGAGCGTCAATCATGAAGCAATCACTCGGTGAAAACACAATCAATTGATATAAAATATTTGGTTTTTACAATACCTTTATCAGTTCCAAAAGTAACCTTCGTCAACGTGTTACATGTTTCGGCGAGCTGCCATTGTCAAACACTTCAATACAGTTTGACAATGGCAGCTCGCCGAAACATGTAACACGTTGACAAAGGTTACTTTTGGAACTGATAAAGGTATTGTAAAAACCAAATATTTTATATATTACAGTTCCGGGGCTACAACAATGAATTTTAATCAATTGATACCTTGTATGTTCAGATATAAAACATGTAATTTCATTTGACAGGTAACGGGGCTGAGGGTGGAGAATACCAGCCTAAGAGAAGAGAAGACGGAGCTGCAGCAGACAATCGGTAAAACTTAAACACTTTTACTAAAATAAAAGAGGTTCTACTCGTGAATTCACAGGTGTACAATTATTCAGAAGCCAAAATTTTATTAATTTTGACTTTATATTTCATTCAATGGGCTAAGTTCAAGAAATTCTCATCAGAAGGAATGTTAAAAACAGTGGGACCTTCATACCTTACGTCCTGAGGTGGCCGACATGGGTACAGTTCAGCCAAAACTTCTGTGCGCACGGACGGGTGGGTACTATCCGAATTACAACATGATTATTGGCAGTCATGCACCATACTGGGGCTGCTAGGGGTGAGTGAGTATGGTTGTACCTGAACTCGCCACCCTCTTTCACGACGTCCTGTTAAAAATCGGTGACAACCTCTTGAACGAACAACAGACATGTTTTTTAATCTTATATGCGTCGTCTTTCAAACATCTTAAAGCACTCATCACTTCTATCAAACAGCTATAAATTAATAGCATCAGTGTTCATTTACTGCACCTCTATGAACATAAAAGTAAATAATAATTAAGCGAAGCTCACTTTCCCTCACTTTGTAACTTCTTTGTAAGAGCATCAGAATGTAATGGCTTGACCAATTGATATGAAATTTGGCCAACAGCTAAAGAATACTGAGCACAATGTTTATGGTAAAAAATATTTGCCAATTACCTTCTGGATTTTATTTTACGGGTCACGCAATTTCGCTTGTTATTTTAATGTAAGTTGAAAGAAAAATTATATTGGGTTTATGACATATGGGTTTATCTTGTTTCATTTAAATAAGATAAACATATGTTAATTGTTTGTAACTGTTTTGTTTACATTTCAATGTTTACTTTCATCCTAGGTTAAAGCATAGACTAACCAACACAAGTAGACTTCTCATCCCATTGTAAATTTTGAAGCTCGTTTTTCATGTCTAGTTCATGTACGCCACACTGGGCGCTAGTGTCGAAGAAATTTTGTTTCTATTATTTTACGGTTAATTTCTTGATTTGTGCTTTACTGTTTGGTTAAATAACTAGGGGACAATATATTGTTTATGATTAGATCGTATTATTTGGTTAACGAGGTTTTAAATTACTGTAATAACGGGAAACAAATTGTAAACAAAACACGACCTCTACATAAACCGTACAGAACTAACAATAAAATTGTCTTCAGCTGTTCCATTAGGATGAGAAATCTACTAAGGGAGTATGTTTTATCTATGGTTAAAGTTGGAATGTAACAGTTTATCAATGGATTTAACAGTTTTGCTATATTTGTTTTGAGCATGCCTCAAAGGCCACGTCGTAATATTGGTCGTCTCACCAATAATGCAAATATTGTAAGAGAGTGGCGTCGTGAACAAGAAGGACCAGATGAAGCAGTGGCGGAAGAAGCTGATAATGAGGCAGTTAGCTAATCAATTCCAACATGAATTAGATGCACTAAAATTTTACACTTGCACTAACTGTCATTGCCAACAACTAACAGATTCAAACCAATCACCGATTTGTTCGCGTTGTCGTTCAAATGCAACTAAATTCACGGCGTTAAATAATATGGATGTGTCAAGTGTCCCGAACGAATTAACTGACTTGACGATTGCAGAACAAATGTAGATAGCACGAGTACATCCCGCTATGCGCATTTACAAAGTACAAGCAAATGGTCAGGATGGCCCGTTTGGTAATTATTTAGATGAGGGTGACCAAGCGTTCTATAGTAAGTTATATATCATTAGAAACTAGATTTTTACCTGAAAATAATGGTGCAAAAATTTTTCTGCTGTCACAAAAACTGAATTTACTACGATTTTTTGAAGTTTTTTTTAATGTTTTATTAGGAACATTGAATCTGCACTACTTACAATGTTTACACTGTAAAATCGAAGTTAATAGCACAATTCACATTTTATTGATTGATTATATGCCATTTTAATGTAAATATTACCCTCACAACCCACACTTAGAAAGGTAATTATGTTAATTTAAGTAGGCTATAACTTATGTATTATTTGATTAAAATTAATTTAACATTAATAAACACCTCTAGTTCGGACATATTTAATCTGGATCTGGGGACTGGATTATGAAAATTGAAGAAGGAATTCATTTAGTTCTTCTCTTTACTTAACCGAATAGCTTAGCTTAGGTTTTGACCATGTAACCGTTATGTCCCATGAGGATAATAGTGTAGTGGCAGTTTTAATAAAATGAATAAACAACAAATTGACACTATTCTAACCTAACCTAACCTAACCAAACTTCTCGTACAGTTTAAAATTTGTTTATAAGTTGAAAAAGACATGCTGCGCATTTTTGAAATTATTATTTATTGTGTTTGTTGTAACCCGCTTCCGGGTGTGTTTCGTTAATTTGTCGGGTCGGGGAGTTACGCGTTCCTGATAGCCTAGCCGAGCTGGGTTACTCCGGGGGTCAATTTTGGTCGAGTTTCCCGCTTTTGTCTCCTACAGTCGTTTTCCTGGCTCAGGCGGGAATGTTTTGCCTCTTGGCTTTATTCGTGCCTCATCATCGCCAGGAAACGAGTGAATAAAAGAGGGAGGGCGAGATTTTGTTTCGAAGTTATAGCTTCGTGCGCGACTCTGTTCACAACCTCCTCGGTGGAGTGTTATTTATTTATTTAATTTAATACCCTACGTCCGTGCGCCACGGACCGAGCAGAATTAGTTTAGATGCGTCTTTATTATTTAAAATAATACAATGCGTTTGGGCGAGGGGATTAGTTCAAAGCCCCGTGAGAGAGTAGGAATATGGAAAGGTGCAAACGAACATACAGAGTAGGGTGGAAAAGGATCGTTTATAGAAAGAGTAACATATGAGACACACACACACAGACAGGTTGAGCACACACAGACTTAATTCAAATAGATTAAGCCTAACTAAAAACTATCTTATTCCCAGATTTTCCGGAATAGCTTAGGTCTAACTAATACTAACTTATTTCCGGTGTGCCCGAAGTAATTAAAGCTAACTTATAAATAACTTATTTCCGGGTTTTCCGGAATAGATTAAATCTAGCTAATAACTAACTTATTTCCGGGTTTTCCGGAATAGGTTAAAGCTAGCTAATAACTAACTTATTTCCGGGTTTTCCGGAATAGGTTAAAGCTAACTTATAACTAACTTATTTCCGGTGTGCCCGAAGTAATAGAGAAAGAAGAAAGGAAAGTTTGTGGCAAGCAGCAAACATTCAGAGTAATAAAGTGACAGAGTAGAAGACTTATAGCTAAGAGCTTACGTGCTAACTAAATCTAGCTTATTTCCTGTGTGACCGAAGTAATAGAGAAAGAAGAAAGCTAATTAGCAAACTACAGCTAACCAAGGCAGTTAGCTGCATACACACATAACACATACAACACACAGATCACTCAATTAGCAACAGTCCAGGAATCAACGAACTGGTGAAGAATGGAAATAGGAGTTGGGGGCTTAACTGTCTAACGTCACGGCTAATTAAAACACCCAAAGCCAATCAGTTTTCCCAAAGCCTTAGTTAAGCGTTATTCTAAGATTTGAAGCAGTTTCGATGGTTAATGTGTTAGTAGCGGAATGTTAGTAAGTTAGAATATTTAAATGCATTGTTCAACACATCAATAATTAGTAGAAGGCTAAATGAATAATGAATAATGAAGTTGTAAATATAGTAAAGAATAGTAAAGCGACTACATAGAACATTAACAGTTAATAGCGGCTAAGCAACGACATAGAACATAACTCCTGTGCACTGGTTCTAGTATAAAATACAATGAATAGCTACAATGGTTAGTAGAGATCTGAAATATGTACAAACAAATGAAAGCGTGTTAGTTAGTAAAGAAGCCAACAAAGTATTAAAATCACTCTAATAAATCAACTATTTACTTTAACTCCCATAAATCAAATATCTCACAGCTAAATTGCTGCTATAGTAATTAAGCTAAATATTGACTAACAACTAAACACCACACATTATATTTAGGTAACACCGTGTTCTCACGGACCTACGCGATAAACAAAACAAACAAAATACACGAATATGAAAATCCACCTTGCGTGACCGGAACCGATTGAACTTGAATATATTTAAATAATACAAACAAGACAACACAAATAAAACAGAAAGGAATTATAACCGGGCGGATCTCGTTCTGACCGTTACTTCTTTAAACTCACGGTCTATAAATTATATATCGAACGAAATTCAGATATTCCACAAATCAAAGCTGATCGTTATACATTTACAAAACTATTTTAACAAAACAGATAACACTCTATTTAATAGTAACACGATATTTAAGAATAATCACAAGTTTAAATAAATCGATCTCTGTTAATTATTCAATTAAATTTAAGACTAAACTCCCCGCGGACGTTTAACTTAAATAGCGTAATTGATTAACAGTGAATAAACGATGGGCGTAATAAAAGCGATAGCGAGTGAGGTCGAGTTATCCTAGGCGCCCTAGGTACAACGACGGCGAATGGCGAATGTCGGTCACTTACTTGGCGTGAGCGAGAGTGTAGGGTCGGGCGTCCTTCTTCTGCCTAATTACTCAGGCGACTGCTCCTGCTGACTGTCGACTCTCGCCGACTCCGACTCACTGTCTCTCCGAGCGCCGCGCACATCCAGCGCTGTGGCTGGGGTCCCTGCGCAGGCTCGGGCGACTGATGCGCAGCCCGGTGGTACGGCGGTGAACCACAAGATCAGCTGTTTCTGAACTTGTGTCATCTGCTAATCTGTTATGTTTACATTTTGGAACTTAACTTCGGTGAATTGGCGAGGCGATTCTGCTAGTAAGGGTTTAGTTTGATTATAAATATTCACAAATTTTATGAAACCTTACACTCCCTCCCCACTTCGGACAAAGTAAAAAGAAAATGACCAAAAAGAAAAAATACTTGTTCTTGGGCTTAGAAAAGGTTCAGCGGTATAGGTACTTATATGCAAGCTACAAGTGTGAGAAAAGTGTAAAGTGATGTACTTTATGAATCATGAAAAAGCTTCAAATCTTTTACATGG